CACACCGCACACCGCACACCGCACACCGCACACCGCACACCGCACACCGCACACCGCACACCGCACACCGCACACCGCACACCGCACACCACACACCACACACCACACACCACACACCACACACCACACACCACACACCACACACCACACACCACACACCACACACCACACACCACACACCACACACCACCCACCACACACCACACACCACACACCACACACCACACACCACACACCACACACCACACACCACACACCACACACCACACACCACACACCACACACCACACCACCACACCACACCACACACACACACACACACACACACACACACACACACACACACACACACACACCACACCCACACCACCACACCACACCACACCACACCACACCACACCACACCACACCACACCACACCACACCACACCACACCACACCACACCACACCACACACACCACACCACACCACACCACACCACACCACACCACACACACCACACACACCACACACACCACACACACCACACACACCACACACACACACCACACACGCAGAGACACACACACACACGCATCGTTTTTTAGTTGTTGAAAAGAGCAACCAAGGAATACCCGGGTTTTTCTTTGTTCTATTGTTGGGGGGGGGGAAGGGATTCCGCCTTTTCCAAGACTCGACACACCCACACAGGGCAGGAAAGTCGTATGCCGGGCGTCCGTTTCTGAGGCAACCCTGTTTTCGCACTACCTGAAATATATGACGAAACCAGAAGGGAGGGTGGCTCCCTATTTGAGACACACCCGTTTGGCATCGTGCCCCAGAGCCAGCTTGTGTTGCAGACAGATGTGCTGGCAGCCCCTCGCAGCACTCCTTTGCAGCTGCCATCTTGCTTTCAACAGCCTATTGGCCTTGTAGGGCGTGTGTGTGTGCCGCATTAATTTCTGGGGGTAGGTTTGGGGGTAGTGGGAACCCTTTGGGTTTAAGTTTAAATGCAGGCCCATATTTGCCTTTTAGGGGACCCTCCCCCCAAAATGGTACCCCCTCAAAATGGTAGCTTTCCTTTTGGTTTCTCTTCAAAGCTACATTGTCCTGTTCGATTCTTTTTAAAACAGCCCTCCAAAACTGAGAACCCGTGTCCATTTTTCCCCCCCCGAATGGGAGAGAGCCAAGCTAAACGCGCTGCAGGATGCTGGGGTGGAGCCCAAGGACATCAACGAGATCCTGCTGGTGGGCGGTATGACACGCATGCCTAAGGCCCGCGTGTCCTTTTCTTTGGGAAGGGGACGGTTCTGGGAGGCTTTTCTCTTCAAAGGAAAGCCAATCTTTGTTTTTTTTGGGGGGGGCTAGTCCAAGACACAAAAAACATGACACCATGAATTAGATGACACGATGTCCTTATGTTTGGAAGTCGCATCACCATCATTTGGGCCCAAACTTGGGCTTTCGCCCAATCGCAATCGCCTCAAATGATGCCCGCCCAATCCCCTTCCCTCCCAAATCTCTTTTTGGGTTGGGAAGCTGTTTGGGTTCTAAAAACTTGGTTCATAGTTTGGTGCCTTTGGCCCTTTCGCCCCATGCTTGGTGGCTCCATACCTCCAGAAGGAAACCTTTGCCACTTTCAGCGGGCCCATGTTCAGTACATGTGGAGGAATACATGGCCATGCAATGGAGTACATGAAAACGAGTGATGGTTCTGCAAGGCAAGTATGCGTGGAATGCCCGCAGTCTGAATTTGGAAGCTCCCAGGTGCCCCGGATAGGGCCCCCCAATCCCAATAGGGGCCTGCGACAAGGAAGGCCTGGGAGGGAATCAGGTTGTCGGGAGACCTTTGTTTTTTTTCTTCTTGCGTTTTTTTTTTGTTTGAGGGGCCCCTGACATGGGATCGGGCGAAGTGAGAGGTGGAGATCCTGCGCACTCAATCAATCCCAGTGCCATGGAAGTTCTCGTTGTATCTAGAGCAACGAGCTGGGTCAAGTTGCCCATTGGGGTCGCTGCCCTGTTTAAGATGAGGAGATCGGGCTAAAAGCGACTAGGCCAAATGTTATTTTCGTGGCCTAGGGTTTCTTTTGCGCGCTTTGGGGGGGTTCTGTTTGAGGTCTGTTGGGTCCAATTCCTCTCTTGGCCCCGGGGGTCAAGGTGCCCAGGATATGTCCTTCAGGGTGTTGGGAATCAACCTAGGGATTCCCTCAAAGGAACCACAAGGATTATTCATAGGGGTCATTCCCTTTCTCATTCAATCCCTGCCTATCGCACCGGCCAGATGACTCAGGCCTTGTAGGGTTCCTTTTGTACTGATGGGCTTGGGGCGGGGGTCATCCAGATGACGACACAATTCCACCCACTCCAACCGGCACCCTAAAGTCTCAAGTAGCCGCGGGTCAAAAATAGGTACCCGAAATGGACCCCTGGTAAATGGAGCCAAGCACTAAAACCCGCGGTTCGGCGGCTTAATGTTGATCCATACCCAAGGCTCAAGTCTCAAACTCCAGGTCATGGAGATCGTGCAGGAGGTCTACCAGAAGGAGCCCTCCAAGTCCGTGAACCCGGACGAGGCGGTGGCCATGGGAGCCGCGATCCAGGCGGGCGTGCTCAAGGGCGACGTCAAGGAGACCGGAGAGCCGGAGAGCGAAGCCCATGGGTCTTGGATCCCAATCAAGTTCTCAAAAATTGGGTTCCCCCCCAAAAAAAAAGATACGGGAAACTCCACAGGGGGGGGGGTAGCTTCTCAACCTTGTCCATTTGCTGAAATGAATATGGTGACGGGTGTATTTCCCCCTGTTGATGTTAAAGGGAATCTATTACTAGTGGACATATTTTCCGAAATTTTCCAGGGGACTCAAGCAAATGGAGGAATGAGAAAACAGGGGTACCCGTCTTAAGCGGAAACCAAAGGGAAGACCAACGCCATTTTGAGGGGGCCCAACCTAACGAAAGACGAGGCACAGCGCAGGACATCCTCCTGCTGGACGTCACGCCTCTGTCCTTGGGCATCGAGACCTTGGGCGGGGTCTTCACTCGCCTCATCGGGCGCAACACCACCATCCCCACCAAGAAGTCCCAGGCGACGGCGGCTTTTTTGTTTTTAAGAGCCGAACAGGGAGGGATCCTGTCGGCTTCTGCGGGCGGCTACCGAGGGAAACCGACCCGTGTTTTTGGGTTGGTGTTCCAGGGCAACCAAAAGGAACACCACTTTTTTGTTTGGGGGCGGGGGGTCTTTAAAAAGAAAGACACACCCCATTGGTTGGATCTTTCCCCATTCAAACTTGTTGGAACGTGATGTTTTTCCCCCACATCAGCAACCAGCAATCGCTGAGGTATGTCCGCGACGCGACCTGCAGTGACCATTTGTTCCTTCCATTGTTTTGGATGTGGGGACAACATCAACTACCTGTACCAGCCAAACAATCAACAACGGCTACCAAACAGGGTCTTGTAGTTTAGTTTGTGGAATTCTGTTTATTGGTTTGGAGGGTCCCTTCAAAATCAAGTACCCTCCCATCAACTAGGAAGCTGACTGCTGGCCCCTGGAAGAGCAGCTTCCTCTTGAAGGGATCCTCTGCCTTCCAAATTAGTGGGGAGTGTGCCAAAGGGGGCCAACCTTTTTCCCGTGGCTGGAGGTCTTTGCGCCTGGAAGAAACCTTTAGTCTCATGCGGAACATGAACCCTGAACACCACACCTCTTAGCATGGAACCCACCTCTTTCGCCCAATGGGGAGTCAGCTCGGGGAGCAGGGACCCCAAAATGTGGGCTTTCTGTTTATTTCTAAGTTGAACCAACCTGCAAAGGGTACCCTCTTAGAAGACAGTCACGAACCCATATTGATTGGTGGGTATGGTTAGGGAGGCCTGTCTCACCTTTGTCAGGTGTTCTCCACTGCTGCTGACAACCAGACTCAGGCCCGACCGAGCTGTTCCGCTATGCTTTTCCAAATGGAACAAGCCAAAAGAGGCTTCGCCTCCATGGCTTTTATTTTTATTTTTATTTTTATTCCTTGTGGTTTTAGTCAGTTAGGGTTTTTGTTTCGTCCTAATCATTCACTGCCACCTATTTTCCAAAAGGACACCAAGAACCCGAAATTTACATCCACATCACAAGGGGTCCCTTTGCGCTTAATATATTCGCTCGAGCTTTTTGCCGCGCAACTGACGCGCAAGAATCCCCATCGATTCTGCTTTTCGGGCGGACTTTGGTGGTTTTCTGCGAGTTCCCGGAATTCACCTGCGAGAACATGTCATTTGAATCGCACGAAATGCGAATGGTCTCGCAAAGGCGATGTATGCGGTATGTTTTTGTTGGTGTGTGTCGTGTGTGTGTGTGTGTTAGTTAGTGTGTGTGTGTGTGTCCACTGATGTTGCTTGCTCGCGAAAGCACATTTACACGTTGTGTTTGCGTGTCCGCTGATTCCAACCGCATTGGCCGTGTCAAGACCTTTGTAATTACTCGCGAGAAGATCCCGCGAAACTAGATTGACATGGTTAAGTGGTGTCGCACAATCATTAGATCAATGCTGACTTGTTGCTGGCTCATTGCTTTTTGTTTGAGTGTAGACTTTTGAGTCCATTCGTTTTAAAGCGGTACAGGGATTCAACCACAAAGTCACGATGAATTGCGGCAAACTAGTGGGGGATCCCTGTAAATGTTGTCATCCACGTATCCGTGGGTCACCAGCTGTCTGGCGCCCAGCTCTTCAGGGCTGAAAGCTTCCAAGAGCATGGTGCTACCCTCCAATAGAAGTGAACACGGGGCTTCCCCAAAAGGAAAGTCTCCCAAACCCCAAAACCCTTCCGTCAGCTTCCATGATTGTTGGAGGGAGCGTAATTTTTTGAAGGTAGCCCGAGTTTGCTTGGTTTGGAAAGGGAGGGGACGCCAACCTTTGGACCGAACTTGTGCTGGCATGTTTTCGTCTGGGATGAAGCTTTGCGCTTAGTGTTGGAATTGTGTGTGCGTGAAGACAATGAATGATTGAGCCCAAGCTGCCTTTTTGCGTTGACGGCGTCA